GTGGCGCTGCTACGTTGTTCATTCAAAATATTGCGGAAAAAGAGAACAATCAATGCGGGGAAGATGTTGTTTACGTCAAAACCGAAACCAAACCGTTCACACAGAACGCATATTTATCGCATTTTCTAGAGGGACATCTATCACCGTTGCACTCACGTCTCGCACAAGAGAGCAGCATGTTTAGAAAGCCATGTAAAATTAATGCAAGTTCAACTTTTAAAAAAACATGTTTCAAGACTTTATGGCGGTTTTCCCCCATCCCACTGTATCTCATGTTTTTAAATGAAGAAAGTAGCCTACTCTTTGTGATTGGTTTTCGGTCCTTTGTATTAAACTATACATACATGCATGGTGCTGTTTTTCTTTTCTAATTGTTTAAGCAACTTTATTAATTATATATGGTTTATAAACATTATTTTAAACATTATGCACTTTTTTTTTCAAAGATAGTCGTGTTATTTTATTATGCTTTGAAGAAACGTGCATAATATTTTGCTCGATGCGCCCTCTTGTGGCCTCAGGAGAGAAACCAAAAGCTTTTTTTCCCCCACCTGAAATTATGCCTTTTAAATTTGAATATAATTCGAATTTTGATAATATTTAAGTGGAAAATTCGAATTTAGTTTTTCAGTCATTTTGACAGCCCTAGTATCTAGAGATCTTTTTGAGTGGGGAACAGGTGCACTAGACAGCAAAGGTCGCCTACACTCTGTACTGACAAACTGGCTTTGCACTTTCACACATACAGATAACACAACACATGGCTTAATGGCACAAAAGAACATCATCTTTAAGCACTGTGCGCAACACTGAGATGTCATGTTATATCCATGACATGGATTTCTAGGAACTAAATAGTGAATGAATTTTGCATACTGTAGTAACAGTTATGCAGGATTGCACGCAACATTGTTTTTTGTTGTACGATCTAACTACTAGAAATGCCTTCAGTCTCGTTCCAAAAGTCTCAACCGTAAGACCAATCACTGGTGAATTTCCTCCATTTCTCCACATGCAGGAATGGCCGCTGCCGATCGGAATGGAAGTTCACCATTTCTCAACCCACTGCTCAGGTGGTGGGAGTGCTGAAGATCCAGGTTCATTACTATGAGGATGGAAACGTGCAGCTGGTCAGCCACAAGGATGTGCAAGAGTCTCTGATCATCTCTGTAAGTTATTTAAACTTGAGCCGCTTGGGTTTTTGAGTGAGTGTGCTTCCTGTTAATGAGTCAGTAGAACACAAACAACCTGCCTGATAAAGGAACAGCCGACTGCCCGATGACTGACATGTCTAATGACTGTGGGTGTGGCGCTGTTTCTATAGATCAGAGGTGTAAAGAGTACCTAAAAACCATACTTGAGTAAAAGTACAGATACATGAAGCACATGATGGCTTTTTGGTACATCTGCTAGTACTGTTTGTTTTCTGGACTTTGAATTGTTGCTGAATGATATTTAGCCTACTAGTTAGGTTTAGACTTCCATTCAAAAGTTTGGCGTCGGTCTTTTTTTCTTTTTTTTTTTTACATTTATTTTTAAAGAAATTAATACTTTTATTTAGCAAAAACGCATTAAATTGATCAAAAGTAACCGCGATTACGTTTATAATGTTACAAAGGATTTATATTTCATTAAAAATGCTGTTCTTTTGAACTTTGTGCTCAACTATTTTTTCAGCATAATACAAAGATAATACCAAGAAATGTTTCTTGAGCAGCATGATTTCTGAAGGATCATGTGACAATGAAGACTGGAGTTATGATGCTGAAAATTCAGCTTTGCCATTACAGGAATAAATTACATTTGAAAATATATATTCAAACAGAAAACGGATCATTTGAACTGTAATAATATTTCATAATATTACTGTATTTTTATTAAAGTAAATGCAGCCTTGATGAGCAAGAGAGACTTCTTTCAACAACATGAAAAAAAAATATATATTACCAAACGCCAACTTTTGAACTGTAATTTATATTAACGCCATTTCGAATGGATTTTCTTTAAGCCTTTTTCTTTAATTGGTATTAATTATAATTGTGAATGTTGGATGTACAGTTTGGCTTGCCAAAATATACTCTTCATTTAGCTTCAAAATTTCACTACAAATCTCTTCTCCCAATTTCCCAAAGCTCACTATGGCAACATGAGAATGATAAATTAGATAAACCATCAGTTAAACAATTTTGTTGTGCTAGTGCCATTTGCTTGCTTTCTTTCTAAGTGTAAAATATGAAATTGCCCTGTGAATCCTTTTAATTCTGACCAAAATTAAATAACAAAACCATATTTTTATCAAAAAATTAAACCCACTAAAAAATCTAAACAATTACAATTTCTGAAATTCTTTTGTAACTTCTTTTTAGGAATTACGAGTGAGCAAATTAGCCACTTTTGGTTATGTAGTGATCATTTTTGTGCTTCTGTTTCAACAGAATGAGGTACAGACTGCCAAGGAGTTTGTCAAAATCATCGAAAATGCTGAGAACGAGTATCAGGTTTGTTGATTTGGATTGGTTAGTCCTTATTTTACAGTACTGCGAGTGCATGTTAGTCTTGATGGAGGAAGAAATGAATTATTATATATTACCTGATTAGATCTATAAGGTGTGAAGAACCATTCAGTGAGATTTCCCCTGCCGTTTGCCTTCCAGACGGCCATCACTGAGAACTACCAGACCATGTCTGACACCACCTTCAAGGCCTTACGCCGGCAGCTTCCTGTCACCCGTACCAAGATCGACTGGAACAAGATCCTCAGCTACAAGATCGGCAAAGAGATGCAAAACGCTTAGACACACGGCATGCCTTCGCTCCTGCTCGCGTTACAAGCAAAGAGACAAGCTATGAGGGGCCCATATCTAAACCTGAACCTACAGCTGAATCCAGGGCAGGGCCAAGGCGAGAAGGTCCTTCAAGAAGTGTTCTAAAAATGTGTCTGTCCTTTTTTGTTTTGGTTTCCAGAAGCCACGGTTTGACCTCAGCTGAAGAGACTGCCTCCTTTTCTGTATTGTAGGAGGGCTGCAAGCTTGTTTTAATGGGTTTAGCAAACGTTTTTGCTATTGAACAAATACCTCCCATGACACCAGTGTACAGCATCATAAATAGCCCCCCCTAATATCACTTACTTCACCCCCTAGATCAGCGTTCCCAATGCTTGACACACACTGTACTTTTTATTGCACTTAGCCCATATGATCAATTGAGTCTATTTTGTTTACTTTTTTAGCAACTCGACTCGAAGTTTTACTTTATTGAGTCATAAGATATAATTTATCAATGTGTAGCCCATCAAAGCTCTCTGGCTGGTTATAAAGAATGTCTTGACACCAGTTTATCATCACCATCTTGTTTTCCAACGTAACAATTGGTCTTTTTTGAAAGCAATGTTGTAAGGTGCCATCATTTGTATGTGCTGTCAATTGATCACAGCGAGGGTTGTGCCAAAGTGAGCATTGTATTTGTACAGTAATTAATTTCAGGGTTATTGTTCTGTGTGGAAATGGTCCCATCGTCGTACTCTGGTGTCTAAGAATGGTATATATATACTGTATGCAGTTACACAAAATATTTGTTACCCCTCACTTCAGCCTCCTACCCTAGCTTTTATTGCTAACTATTTTTTACAAAATGTAAGAACAAATATGATCCCAGAGGAATAAATGATTTGCACCAAACTGACTTTATTGCTATTATTATTTTTTATAATATGTTGTAACATCATTTTAATGTCACAATATTATATATAATGTTAAAATGCTGTTTTACTTTAAATAAGGGGTGTAAATTTGCTCTGATGTCAATTTGATTCTGATTCTGTGTCTCATTTAGTAATGCGTCATAAAGTCTGGAATTTGGCCCCGAATCATTTCATTTGTTGATTATGATATTCATAATTATTTTTAAGGATTACTGGGTTTTGTTTTAATTATGTATTTTGTTAACGTGTTATGCATAAGATATTATCATCACCATCGTCGTCATCATCATCAAATTATAATAAATTCTGTAACTGGTGCATTAAAATATAATAGTTAAATTGTGCATTTCTACACCCCTGCTCAATTTGCTAGAATATTTGTTTGGTTATGGCTATTAAAAAAGGATTTTAAAAATATTTAAAAAATGTACTTTATACCCATGTACATCAGCCTCAGAAATTAACTTTTTAGTTTTATACTTTAATTTTTTTTTTTGGCAAGTGTTGATAATTATCCTCTGAATTGATTACCTTTTATTAGGGATTTTTCTAACATGTGACATGTATGCCAAATACTGAATTTGAATCCATTATTTGGGCTGACAACAGAAAATTATAAAATATGGGCATTGTTTGGGGAGTACAAAGCATGTATATATAACAGTATATACTCCTGAAATAGTGATAGTAGTATGTTGGAATGCAATTCTGAGCATATATTTCTCGATTCACTTAAAAAAAAATAGTATACAACTGCATATACGGCACATTAAGCTAGTATTCTATTCTGAATTTAAAACAGTCGTTATAGAACTCGGGTATAAATGAACAGGAGCTGCGCCCTCTGATGGAGAGCGTCGGTACAGCATTCTCTCCTCCACTATCCCACAATTCTAATGTTTACGGCTAGTCGGTGAAAGATGGCGGACAGCAGCGGCAGTAATCCTCAATCACCCGGTTTCACGGAGAAATTAAAATCGTGGCTCTGCTGGTCGTGGACTTACATATGTACGCTTTGGTTCGCCATGGTCTTAACGATGGTTTATGTGCTGAGGAGCCCACTGAAGCTGCAGGAGACCGTCAACGCAGGTGTGTGTTTATGATCAGCTGTGGGGTTGTTTACTACTCAACACGGGGTATCTTTCTATTCATTGAAGGAAAAATTCACACAAATATGAAAATGCTACCATTATTTCTCTCGTCTCCATGCAAACCCATTTGAGTTAATTTTTTTTTCGAATATGAAAAGAAATTTTGAAGTCAGTGCTGGTCGGAGTTTTCCATGCAATGTCAATGAATGGTGACTGAAGATGTCAAGTGGCCAAAAGGACTCTAAATTGTCATTAGGTATCATAACAGTAGTCCATACGACTCGTGCACTATATTACAAGTCGTTTGAATTCATACTATATCATTGTGAGAGAAACAGACATGCATTTAAATTCGTTACTGATTAATTGAATGTGGTGTTTACTTCAGATAAAAGCAGCTGTCAAATGCAAGTCTAGAAAATGTTAGGTTATGTTTTATGCATTAATTCCAGTTTGACAGCAATGCACTGAAGCTTCAATCCTATATCTCACAATTTTTTTGACATTTTGTTTTGTTATGGGTATTAATATCCACAAATGCATATCATTTTTACACAGTACAGTGTGCATGTGATGTTTGAGAAATTATTCAGAATATTTCTGAAACTTCTGAAAGCATTATTCAGAGGAGGAACTTATCAAGACAATGTGCACAATAAATAAAATGGAAATATTTTTATGCAAGATAGGTTCGGTTTAATCATCATTATTATTTTTTATACTAAAGACATTTTTAAAAGTTGTATGCAAATAATCAAGTAACTTGTTGCCGTGTTTTACGTGTTGTGTTTAAAATAAAATGTTTAAATTATATACATAATTTTTAAAGCTTTGTTTTTAAGATCATAGACTTTATAAACAGATGTTGACTACATATAGGTATGGAAAAATAACTGTTTTGTAAATTAATGAACAGTCTTACAAACAAAGCTTCTCTTCAATAACTCCGCTTCAAATATAATATATATTATATGAAATATATTTCAGGTTTTAATTTTTTTTAAGTACAGTGTGCATGTAATGTTTGAGTAGAAGCATTATTCAGCGGTTGATTTTAAAATGAATTTTAATATAAATTAAAAATGTAATAATTTTATAACCGTAATTATTCAAGATATGAGTTTAGTCATTATTTTTAAAGAGTTGTAAGTTAAATGTATGGCCATTTTTAATGAGTTTTATGAGTTATAATAAAAATTATTATATATTTAGAATCTACTAAATACATCCCCACAAATAATATATATATATTTTAATTGTTTTGCTTTTTTTCCCCTGTGACTTTAAATTGCTGAAGCATTTTTCAAGATCAAGAGTTATCAATAGATGTTTACTATACTGATTGATTGACAGGTGTTATATATATATATATATATATATATATTTTTTTTTTTAGTATGAGTATATAAAAATGATTATAATTTCTTTGTCTTACTATATTGTTATTCGTCCACAGCATCTGTGTTTTTAAACACTCTTACGCCGAAATTCTATGTTGCGTTGACTGGAACCTCCTCACTCATCTCGGGCCTCATATTGGTGAGTCTTTTTCTTGGCTTTGGTGAATTGGTTGTCAAATAACTTAATTTAAATACTTAATTAAATAAGTAATAATAATCATACTAAACAACTAACTTCAGTTTCAGAGCTGTGTGAAATCACACTGTTTGTGTCTGTCTTCAGATATTTGAGTGGTGGTACTTCAGAAAGTATGGCACGTCCTTCATCGAGCAGGTGTCTGTCAGTCACTTGCGCCCCTTACTGGGAGGAGTGGAGAACAGCAGCTCTGCAGGCCTCTTCTCCTCAGTAAACGGCGATACCGAGCCGAGAACCAACGTTGCAGGTTTTTGAAAGTTACTGGCTACATGTTTATCTTTCTAAATATTAGGAAGGAAATATCATTTTCTTTTTCTTTCAGAATGTAAAGTGTGGAGAAACCCACTGAACCTATTCAGAGGTGCCGAGTACAGCAGGTATATTGTTGGACGTTTCCTAAACGGTTTCAGTTCATTTCAATAATATTTGAATTTGACAGACTTCCATTATTTAATAACCATTTAACTGTCACCCGTCCCCTCTGTGGGACGCCTAAGTTTTCTTCACTATATTACAATTAAATCCTAATCTAATCATGACAAACGATATATTGTTGGAAAGGTCTAACACTCCTAAATAGATATTTTACCAATGTTTTTGTTAAAAATGATGTAGGAAAAGTAATAGATTAATTTATGACAAGAGTGCACCTCAAAAATCTACATCATAACAGGAGTTCTGACCTTTGTCAAAAAAAGTCTTCTTTGTTGCCTTTTTCTCGATCACACTTTCGAAATCATGAGAAATTATATATCAATTGAAAACTTTAAATCTCAAAATTCATCCTTTGAAACCCATTTTAAAATCAAACATTGCATTACCATGAAAATGGTACATCAATATCATGTTACAAAATGTTTTCGTTCATGAATTATACAAATTTAAGTTTGGATTGTGCACTTTCACGTCTATGTTCAAAAATATGAGTGACAGTTAAGGGGTGTTAAAAAATTCATATTCATTAATGATCCTTTCATTCCAGGTACACTTGGGTGACAGGAAAAGAGCCCCTGACATACTACGACATGAATTTATCAGCACAAGATCATCAGACCTTCTTCTTGGGAGACACTCAGCAACTTAGACCAGAGGACTCTGGTTAGTCTCATGCTCTTTCACCTAAAAAAAAAAAGCTTAGATTTACTCCGAACTGATGTTTTATCATGATTGCTATCTCTCTTGCTTGTTCTGCAGTAATGCAAAAGGCCTGGAGGGAGAGGAACCCACAGGCACGTATTCGAGCAGCTTACCAGGCAATTGAGCTGAACCGCGAGTGAGTTTCACGCATACTTACAATTATATTCAATTTACCCTCTTCAGACGTGGCTCATCTGGTCAGATTTGACAGCTGAAACCATCCACTTAATAAACAGCAATAAAAATGCATGAACTAGGGATTCACAGTATGATGGTACCATTTTGCTTATTTGCTTATTTTTCTTTTATTATACTGTATTCGTCTATATTGGATATTTAAAAAGGAATGCTCACTTAAATCTAATCTTAATAAGTTCATACAGTTAAATGTAATATTTAGCAAATCTCAAAATAAATATACATTTTTCATAATGTGCATTATAATGATGATGCCTAAATTCAATTGTAACTTGTAATTTAAAAATGACCTATTTTAATTTTAAGTGTTATATTTTTAATTTATTTAAATACACATCAGCATGAAATTGTAATATAAGACATGTATTGTTATTTAATTACTGGCTTTCTGTGTCAGCCAGAATAGGGATTTTACTTTGTGTAACTCTTTCTTTTATTTTATCATATCGGACAGTATTGGATATTTAATGATGTACAGTGGGTACGGAAAGTATTCAGACCCCCTTAAATTTTTCACTCTTTGTTATATTCCTCTGTTACTTAAAGATAATCTTTAAAAATATAATAATAATTTAATAACACTGTTAAATGTAATTTTTTCATATTCATTTTTCATATTGTGCATTATAATGGATATCAGTTTTTATTATTTCTATATATAACAGTATGTTATTGTAATATAAGCCATGTATTGTTATTGACCATAACATAGAAATAATTACTGGCTTTTCTGTGTCTGACAGAATTTTATCATCAGTGCATCTCTAATGTTAATACCGAAGGTACTTTTTCTGACTCTCAATCATATGACTCATTCATTGCAGATGTGCTGCAGCATATGTGCTTCTGGCCGAGGAGGAAGCCACAACCATCACAGAGGCTGAACGGCTTTTCAAACAAGCGCTTAAAAATGGTATGAAACTTTCACACTGTCACACATATATGCTCAGCATACAGTGACTCACACTGTCGATCATTCTCGTTGCTTTCACAGCCGGCAAAGACACCAATCTTGTGGTCTACATCAAGCGCAGACTGGCCATGTGTGCAAGCAACAGTAAAACAAAACTTTTGGCTTTTTATCTAAATTTCTGATAGGTTCAGTAATAATAATAAAAAAACTACCAGTTTTAAGCGATCTCATCATGATGCATAATGCAAATATTTAAGTTGTTTGGCCACACAGTTTTATCTCACTGTTATTCACGAGTGCAGACATATTTTCATGACCAGGAGGTGATGCTATTGAAGCACAGTGCAGCCCTCTGCACTAAACTGAAACTTTTCTAACATTGATATCAGGAGTGCATCGTTCACAGTTTTACATTGAACATAATTGCAGCCCAAGACTGCCGAGCATAGATTTTCATAAGCTGTGTTTAGGGTGAAAGTTGTATCACCTTTGATTTTCCTTTTGCTCTTTAAAGATGTTTTGTATGAAGGTAGAATGACGTCAAAAAGATTTGCATGTGCAGGGTAAGAGTTGTGGAAGTGTACATAAGACCTTAAGCGTAAATTAAATTTGCATGCGCAAGAGAAGCTTTGTAAAGGTGTAAATCGTGTTTCACGCGCAAGAAAAAAATATTTG